TAAATTCACTGATGCCCCCTGGCCAGCGCAAGGCAGCGAAAAAACCATCCATAGCACGCATTGCCTCCCAGATCTTTGATTATTTCTGCAAATACGAAAAATCGGTGCTAGTACTTGGCACTGCCGTGCAGCTTCACCATTTGCTGCGCAGCTTGCGTAAATTGAGTTGTTCCGGCGAGAATGCAGTTCAGCGCAGCAATCAGCAGGCCGAGGATATACGTACGTCCTTCTAATTATTAAAATTTTATTTTTTTCTATATGTTTTTGGCGTTGTAGGAAAATATTGTACCAATATGCTGAGACGCAAATGGTACCACTACACTGGTGGCTTGGAAAAGGGAGCACAATGTAACGTTCATCTCGACAAGCTTATTAAAGGCTTTCTTAAGGACACATCATTTGAACGTCAGAAGGATATTTTATTTGCCCTTAAAGAGGAGTGCCTGCTTCTAAATAAAAAAGACTTGTCTTTAGAATCGATTCCCAATATTAAAAAGTAAGTTAAATTAGTTAAGTGTGTTTGTCCAAAAATTTATAATTTGCGTATTCTAGGCCTAACTTTCCCCTATTGTTTCGTGGGCTATGCGAGATTATTATCAGCACATTGAATTCCCAATGTAGTAGTCCCGCTGAAACGATCGCTTCAAGCTCTGGGAATCAACTATATGTCTCCTTAATGGCCTTTTGGAAATTGTCCAGACTGTGGAACAGCCGCGCAATTTTGGCTTATTCTTAAAGCATTCGCAATTGTTCCTGAAACTGTTCCTACAACATGGTGTGTCCGTTCTTGAGACGATTGTGCGCGATAGTCCCGAACGGTTAACCAAATTTTTTCACGAGCTACAGAATGTAACCAAGTTTTTGCACAATCTCTGTTGCCATTCGAAGTCAATAAAGAATACTGCCATTATTAGCTACATTCCTAGCCTACGTGAAACGCTGGAAACACTGGTGTTTCGTATAAAAGCGTTGCTGGCGGCCAACAAATGTCATGCCGCCTTTCATATCAGTATTTTGGATAATAAGGATTTGCATGGCGATGCAATTGTGACTCCCAGGGGATCACTTATCAACGCAACTAATAGCGATGAAGAAATCCCCGAAGATGACGTCAGCGTGATGAAACTTATATAAATGATGATGAGGGCAGCACTCTTCTGGATAGTTCTTCGCGACGCAGCGCAAATAGTCGCAGCAGCAAATCAAATTCACGCAGTAAATGTTTTTAAAAATCATTGTATGTTGTAAACAAGACAAATATATATATATAATCTCTAATTATGTTGAAAGCAAGGAAATGGTTTTATTATTCCAGCTTCAGCTACAAACTCATTTTACCTGTTAAACATTAACATTGGGCTCGTTACAAGTAAAGTAATCAAGAGTAGTTTTTGCATTGTTTATTTAATTTTTTTTTTATTTATTATCTGGATGCAATTTTATTTAATTTTTGTATTACAAATAATAACAAATGTATGTATATCAAATATTTTAGTACAATATTCTTCTCACTTTTATTTTCTTCATTAACAATAATTGTTTGTAAGACGTAAAAGATGTTGCTTCCTATCGCTGTTCCACCTACATTTCTGCATGTTCTTGAAATGTTCATTTGTTTGTTTCATGTTTGTTTTATACTTTTGCTTAATAATTGGCGACGTTACGTTCACGGCTTTTATAAATTCCTCATACGTGTGACATGTATGCAAATTTGATGTGATGTTCATTTTAAGAATTAATAAAAAAAAATTACAATTTATTTGAAAAAATTAGGAAAAAACAATATGAAAACACACACAAACTATAAGTATACATATAAAAAATTCGTTCAATAGGATTTAAAAAGAAAATCACGTAAATGTGCAGCTAATAAAACAACGTAAAATATCTTCTAACGGTATACATTTTCGACAGTTTATCATAACACATATCCAGATTTGTAGTATATATATTAGTGTAAACAATTGACACTGGAAACTGACGGTTCTAGCTCTATGGGAAATTTGCATCGTGGATTTGCAGGCTGTTAAAAAACTACGGCGACCTATATACGGTCGCTTCTAAGACTGCTGCTTTATAAACAGCTGCGCCTAAGCTAATTTCATGTGATCTTGAAATATACGTTTCAAATACCAAAATTTAAAACGAAAGCTTTGCTGAAAGATTTGAAAAGGAAATCATCATATTAATTTGGAAAAGATTTTTGCACTCTCGAGTACTGTTGGTATATTTCAATATTCAACGGAGTTCGTTTGTTTTTTTTTTGATTTATTAATTTTTATTGTTTTCTTTATTTGCCAATTTTTCAAAAACTTAAAACATTTTACACAAATTAATTTTAAAAATTTTAATACGTACGCAGTCTGTTTAAAAGTAAAGTTAGATTATACACTCCTATATCTACATATACACTATATACTCATATATATATAAATTTTTTTATAGAGAAAGATATATTTTATATATGTATGTATATATAGATTTAGTAATTATGATTAAATCTTGCCTTTGCATCATCACAATTCATGTAAAGTTTTTGTTGTATTTTCTTTTGTTTTGTTGTTTTCTACATATTTTGAAATATATATATATTTCTTATTTTTGCTTCAGTTTCCACGCGCCGCTTGCAAATTCTTGATATTAATTTCTGTGATTTTTCTGCTTTTAAGTTGTTTCTTGTTTGAATGTTGTATGACTGTTTGCTGCAATTTAATTTACACACGTATACAGTTATTATCGTTGGATATATTATGTTGAGAGCTGGGTCAAAGGTCGAAAGTTTGCTTGCGCTTCCTCACAATACACAAAAAAGTTGAAAATTAAAACCAATTAAACAGCTAAACAAATTAGTTCGGTAAATATTCTTTAACATTAGTGCTTTAAGTTTAGACGTAAAAATATTTTGCTAAAAATTAATATTCATATAGTTTTATTATATAGTAATATATATTCATGTATATATATATATTTATTTATATAACATAATATTGAAAACTTAAGCGCACAAACAAAACTAAATATTCAAATTAAAAACTAATTTTGCCAAACGTTTTTGCTTTCCCGAAAAAATTAAACAAAATTACAAATTACAATACATATTTAACACAAATATAAAGGCAAGGAGTTTCGAAAGAACAATTTTTAACACTTCCAAAAGGATGGGGGAGCATGGGGAATTTGAAAACAACTATATATGACCGCAAAGGCATCAACGGCACATTGTTTAAATTAGTCGAGTATTGTATTTTAGTTTTTTTTTTGCTTTGTTTTGTTTTTTTCTTTTAACCAAAGTGAAAACTTTAACGGATTGTTTAACAGGTTTTGCCAATTTTCTTTGTAGTTTACAATTAGAACACATTAACAATTAAGACTTATAAATAAAATTACAAATTTAAAACAATATAAAATCAGTACAGTATCAAATTAAACAAAACTTTATCATTAAGCATATGTATACATATATTTGCAATTTGAATTGGGTTCCAGTTTCAAAGTCACCAAAAATTTCGAAAATTTGCTTTTCTTTTCTAAGGCAAAAACAAAAATGTTTTACATGCAAAAAGACGCGGCGTATAAATTTTTTAAATATTTTTTGCTATGTTTGTGTGTGTTAAAAAAAAAAATAATAAAAATTAAAACTTTTTCGTAGGCAACAAATGATGAAAATTAGAAGAAAAAATGCGTAACGAAGCTTAGTACAAAAAAAGGTTAAATATTTGTGGTTGTTTCTTAAATTGGTTTTTGTTGTTTTTTACGTTTAGTTTTATATAGTTAGAAAATGGCGCACACTGCTGCGGCGGCTGATGCTGCTGCAGTTTACTCTCTTGCAAAGGGTGTACTTTTAAATATTAGGGTATATGTTTAACTGTGTGTGTGTGTTGAGTGTATTGAGTGTGTGTGTTTCACTAAATTTAAACTTAACTATGGTCATTTAGAATTGGTAGTAAATGTTCTTATTGTTGTTTGCTAATGTATTATTATTATTATGTATTAAAGTTCTTTGCTGGTGTCGCAAATTTGTTTTATTTTGCGCAAGTTTAGAAGTTTTTTTCTGCTTTTCATTTAACTTTAGGCAACTGCTTGGTGTGTGTGTGTGTGTGTGTTTATCTGTATCTGTATCTGTATTTTTGTGATTGTGTATATTGTTTCAATTTAAAAATATCATATATATTCCATTTTAGGCGCTTGCTGAACAATGTTTATAGATACGCTTTAAAAAACTTTTCATCTTATTCATTATCATTATCAATTTGTTCTTGAGTTTAAAATTGGAAGTTTTGCTTGTTATTTAATTATGACTAATTTAATTGTTTATACATTTTAGTTGTTTTTGCTTTACTTGAGATCTAGCAAAAAATAAAAATTTTCATAAAAAATACAGATCGAAACGGAAAATAAAATTTTGCAAAATTTTAACAAAAGTTTTTTGTTTCGTTTTCATATTGATGTTTGTTATATAGGAGGCATGGAGTTACAGTTAAATAATGCTTATATATATTATAGAGTTGCTATATAAGTATATATGGGATAGACCCAGTTTCGGTTTGCTATGAACTTGTTGCAGCACTCTAAGAAAAGTGTGAATAAAACTTATTAGGGAAAACTTGGGAAATTCTTTGAATAGATTTGTTTTGAGGGCTTATTGATGTAAATTAATTCTTTTGTTTTTTATTTATTTAGATTTAATTTTTGCCGTTATTAAATTCCCTATAATATTATCGCTTGTAAAATTTATAGTTTACTTAATTTTATTATTTTTCTTTTATTTGTAACTGCTTGTGATGTGTGTGTGTATGTGTGAATGTAAGTGTTAGTTGGTGTCTTACTAATTCGTTGCATCTCGATAGCAGCAATTCAGTTGTCAACTGCTGCTGTTTGTATCTCTGGAGCTGGAGCTGTAGCTTTAGCTGTATCTTTATGCTTCGCGTGTTTTTTTCATTTGTAATTTTTGTGCAATTTCTTAGCTCTACATACATTATTTGTTGTTTTTGTTTAATTGATTTCAAGTTACCTAAAATAGTTTGCAATTTAATCGGAAAGTCTTGCCAACGTGCACAGTCCAAGACATTATATAATAATGCCAATCGCTGCTGCGCTTTAATAATTTAGTTTCCTTAACTCATCAAGACTAATTTCGAATTTAATGTATTTTCGCTTTTCTTTTTGTTTTTATAATTTCAGTCAATATTTCTTCATTAAGCTTTGCTTCTGAATTACTTTATTAATTTGATTCATTCGATCAATTATTTAGAGCTTTAAATTTATGTAATTTTTAATTTTTTGTTTCGTATTTACAATTGAAGGAAATCTTGGTTTTTTATTGTTGTGCAATTTCTCCTTTTCGATTTTCTGCTTGATTCAGTTTTATACAAATAGTAGTAAAATGTTTATTACTTTGTTTATCAATTTGGTTTACGCGTTATGTATAAAAAAGTTGCTTAAGTTTTAAAATCAATACGAGCCTAACTGCACTATACTGATATAAATAGATTTATATATGTAATTATGTTTCGTTTCTGCTTTTATCAGTTTGTTATATATGCTCAATTATTGTTTCCATTTCAAGTTAAAAACGTATGTAGTTCTTGAATTTTAAAAGGGTCTTCGTTTTGTATTCATGTTGCCTTTAAAATGTTTTAGCAAAATGCTCTAATTATTTAGAATTTGTATTATGTGATTATAAAAGTTGAACGAAATATGTTTGCTAAAATGCTGCGGCAAGTCTATAGATATGCTATATAAATGTATATAATAATTATTTCTTTCAGATTTATATAGAGATAGAGAGAGAGATGTGCAAAGCAGTACCTAAACAAAGTAATTTCGTAGGGTTATAAAGCCCGATTGCTCTTCTTATATAGGATATAATTGTTTTTGCTACGCTTCTTTAGAGTTGAAAAGATAAAAAATCAAATATGCATATATATATATATAAATATATGCATATGCTGTGTTGCAGTAGCTGTAGTTATAGTTGGTTGTTGGTGTGCCTTCTAAGTTCGTTCCATGTTTTACTTTTATTTTTAACTGTAGTTGCCTGTCATTGTTGTTTTTAACTCCATGCCGAAAACGTATCCATATACCACTGTTCACCATTTGTGCCTAAAGGTTGCTGTGGTAGCGGTAAACTGCCCCAACTGCCGCCATTTCCTATTAAACCGCTCTGGTAACGTCGCTTAACATCTGCCGGATTTTGGTGACCTCCATCGAACTTACGTTTACCGACTACTGCAGTTGGTCAACAGGAATGCATATGTTGTTGATGTATATGTATGCGTTTGCGTGTATTTGTTTTTGCGTTTGGTGGGTGTGGGTGTGGAACGGATTTAAAAAGAGAAAAAAGAGAGAGTTAAAAATGGTTGTTAATACTACACAAATGGAACAGTTCTTTGCTATTGTTCGTTTTCGTGGAAAATTTGTCGTTTAAATTCTGTTCTTTGTGGGCTATAGTTGAACTGCGGGTTTTTATTTTTTTTATATTTAGTTATTTTTTATAACTTTTGTCTAGTAAGGAAATAAAAATATAATATACACAGATTTTTGCTTTTTTTATTTGGGTAGCTCATATTTTCTGCGTACAAATACACAACAAAATGTAGAAAATCTCATTAATTAGACATAAACGTCGGGGACTTGTTTTTTGTACACAAACATGACAGAGATATGGGTATGTGTGTGTGTGTTTATGTGGGCGAGTGTGATTGAATGTGCAAGTGTCTAGTGTGTGTAAGCGATTAATAAGTGTGTGTCAATGGCTTGTAATAGTGTAAGTGTGAGTGTGTGTGTGTGTGTGTGTGTAAGTGTAAGTGTAAGTGTAAGTGTAAGTGTAGTGTAAGTGTAGTGTAAGTGCGTAAGTGTGTGTGTGTGTGTGTGTAAGTGTCAGTGTGTGTGAGTGTGCGTGTTGTGTATGAGTGAGTGAGTGTGTAAAACGGGGTAGTGCACGTGTAGATAAAACATTGTACATGATATTATCGCTTAGTAAACAACATGTAATCAAATGTGTGAGGATTTGTTAAAGGAGGACGACAGTGTGTTAGTTGAGTCGTTTGGATTTTCCGATCTTCGAATGGAGCGCTGTATCTCTAACAATTCTCTGGTGTCTTGTTCGCCTGTTTCTTGTTAAAAACTAATTTGGAATTTTGTCGTATATATTGGCGTTGATTTTGGAATTAGCTTTAGATAATTCTTCGTTGTTTGAACTTCTTGAATGTTGAATTGAACTGATCTCTTTTTGGAAATGAAAATGATAGATTTAGGTGTGCGTGTTGGTTTCTCGAATAAGGAGTTCGCAAAATCAGGCTTTGTTGGTGTAGTGTGTATTATTTTTAATTAGAGCTCCTCTTTTTTTCTTTTTTTTCGGTACGAGATGACTTGGACTTGCGTGAATGCTTCTTGGATTTGTGTGATTTAATTTTGGTACTTGAGGAGCTCTGACGCTTCAGTTTCTTGCTCGGCGAACGACTTTTGTCGCTGCGCGCGGAACTGACGACCGAGGAGCTACGCTTAGTTGCCCTCCATGAAAGTCTTGAGTGCAGATCCAGCTAGAAACAGATTTTAGATGTTTTTTCTATCTTGTTTTTTACAAATTTTATTGTGTTGTGTTCGTGTTGAGTCGTATATATATTATATATATTTGTGATTGAATGAAGCCGTTCTAAGTAGAAAAAAAAAACAATAAGCTTACCAAATGTGGATGGACAATACAAAATGTTGGCGTTTATAAGTAAAGCGTGTAAAATAGTACATTTAACTAAAGATTTCTGTGTCACGCTTTTGCCTTGTCTAAAATTAAAAAATATTGGCAAAAGCGTGCTTCTGCTGCTATGTATATGTAGCCATACAACATGTAACAAATTATATTTTGCATATTTAAAAAAAGTGTTGGGTTGTGTTCATCGTTAAAACAGAATACACGAATCGATTAGTATTTGTTGTACAACAAAAGATTTATATATATATATATATTTATATATACAAGTATTTAATCAAATAAAAACGTACATGTGAGTAAATTAGGTGTGTTGTGTTATTTATATATCGGCATAAATACATATATATATTTATATAGAGGATATGGATACTAATATTGGATTTGAACTGTTGATTAGCAAAGCATGAACTTAAATTTTATTAAACATACATATATTTATACTCAAAATTTAGAAAAATATTTATTGTGCCAACGCATCAAAATTTATTCATAGATTTGTGTAACCAAAATATTAAAAAAAATTATATACACGTACGTCAAATGGATTTAAAGGATTTTATGTCGGGGAGCATTTAATAAGAGGGGAAAGGGGCGTATCTTCAACTCTCCACTGACTCTTAACAACAGTTGGTACCAGCAGTAGCAGTAGTAGTGAAACAGTGGGAGATGGGCGGGCATGACGATATTTAAATACTAATCGATTCATAAACGTTTTCACAGCATATGCTCCTTAACATACATATGCATTCATATAATTTGTTATACTGGCTTTCCATATACATGTGCGTGAGCGTTTGGCGTGTATGTGTGTGTGTGTGTTTGGATGTGTGGAGAGTGTGTGTGTCTGGATGTGTGTGTGTATGTGTGTGTACCTGCTTGCTGCTTTTGACTAAGTCGAAGCTAAGTGCATGCAAAAACTGTAGCATACATTTTAGCGCTGTTGAAATGATACAAAAGATGAAAATTTCGTGACGAAAATCCAAAAGCAGCAAGAGTTAAGCTACATTAAGAAAATATATTTATTATATATATATATTTAAATAGGACATTTAAACACATTTACAAAATGCAAAAAAAAAAATATAAATTATGAGTAAAAAACACGACATTAAGTGAACCTTGAGATGCTTCCATTGTAAGCTTGGTGGATGGTTAGAAAACCTCAAAATCATTGTGTGCGTATGTGGGTGTGTGTGTGTGTGTCTGTATTTGTATGGGTTGGGTGGTAACATTTTACTTGGCTTTACTTATTAATTTATATGGATTTGTATTGTTATGCATTTGAGATTGCTGTTGCTGTTTGATGGTGTTCGTGTTGGTGGTTGCTGCTGCTGCTGTTGCAGTTGTTGCACTTGAACGTTGTTGGTTTTGGATTTTGGATTTGATATTTTTGTTGTCTTTTGTTGTTGCTGTTTGGTTGTTTGGTTGTTGTGGTTGTTGAGCTCACCTGGTAAATTTTGTAGCGGCTTGACGTGCTGGGTGCCAGGAGCGCTGGGACGCATTGGTGCCACCCCACGGACCCCCCCGGTTGCTGCCGGCGCCCCCTGAACGGTGGCCGCCCCCCGATGAGCCGCCGCCGCCGCCTGTCCCACCGCCGCCACCGCTGCCGCCGCCTGTGGCACTGGTTGGGCCCCCAGACGACTGATGCTGCCACGTTGGCCAACGGCTCGGCCACGCGGGACTGTGATTCCATGCCCACGACCAGCTCCCTAATTATCATCATTGCAATGGCATGCATGCATGTTTGTAGTGTGTGTGAGATAGAGTGTGCATGTTCGTGTTTGCGTGTGTGTGTGTGTGTGTGTAGGTGTGTTCATTTAATTTTTTTTGTATATTTATTTATATATATATTCCAGAGCGGGGCATTCCATATGATTCCATATTCAGTTATTCCAGGTTTTTGAGCGTTGATTGATTTGTTTTTGGTTGGATTTCGAATTTTTGCAGTTTAACAGTATTTTTTTATAATATAAATTGAGTAAGATATCGTATATATATATATAGAGATATATATATAATATATATGGATCGCCAAGATATTGAATTTTGGTCATTTCAAATTATAATTAAATACATTTGGATTCATAATTTTGAAATCGAATGCAGTTGCAAATTTCGAATTTAGTTTTTAGAGAGGAAAGACGTTTGGGCAAATAATTAAATAGCAGGTTTGGGTTGATACAATTTGGTTTTTGAATCGAAAAGTTTGTCGATTTGTTTATTGGTCGTTGGTTGTTTGTTTGGTTGCATAAATTTCAGGTTTAGGTTTTGGTAGAGAATTTTTATAGGAATTTTGTATGGTTTGACGAACATATATATAATTTTTTTTTTTTTTGGTTTGCAAAGTTTTTTAAATTTTTTGTTACCGAAAAACAAATGATTTGTTTGTATATATAATAGTTTAACAACATATATAAAAAGAAAAGAAAGAAAAGAAAAATCGAAATAAACGCGTTAGATTCTTGTATTTACATACAATAATAAAAGTATGTATATTATTAATGTTTATATGAATTAAATATATATGTATATGAAAATTACGTTTTGATTGATAAGAAAAAATGCTAATATATATTTTGATATTCGTGTTTTGGTCTCTTGTGTATTGTCTGTGTACTGAGTGTTGCTCAAAGAGCAACAAATGCAAATTTTACTGCCTCTAATAATATTGGGAATATAGTATTTTTAACAACAAATCACAGCGCAAGATTTTCGGCATCTAGTAACGAAATGAGCTTATGCTCGATAAACATTTTTTGTATGGCTTTCTGTTGCTTGCGATGGACACAATATTCAAATTTTTACTTAATTTTTATAATAATATTAAACAATAAGCGTTAAATAAAGCAATGGGCATTTTCTTAAAAATAGGCTACGTATTTTTGGTTTTTCTTCTAACTAAAAGCATTAATAACTTAAATATATTTAACAAATTTGTAGAAGCACGATGATTAAAATAATAAATAATTAGCGTTGCAATTAGCATTAAATGCAATTAAGCGTAAGTAAAGCGCAGGGAGCAACAATTGTTAGTTTCCAGGGCGTAAAGCAAAGCGTAGCATAATAAATTATAAATTTGTTTCCATTGCTCAAATGTTGGCCAAAAGATATCGTAAGGGTCAGAGAGCTGTTCTGGGTGATGTGTGTGCAGTAGCTGTGGATGGTGTGGTGTGTGTGTGTGGTATGACGTGCTGCGCTGTGTTAATTGTCGTGGGTCGTATGTAGTTGGCAGCATTTAACATGCAAATTTTGACATTGTAAACGAAAATAAAAAGTTTTCGAAATTAGTTCGTTTTAAAAAAGCAATGAAGCTGAAAACAAAACAATAAAACCATCGGCCTGACAAAGCCTATTTCAGCTGTGTCAGCACAAATCATTAAACCGAATTAATATCGAATTACATCTAACTACATTACGTATTCAAACAGAAGTACAGTACAAATTTGTGTTTCTGTGTATTTGTTGCGACAACTGTAACTGCGAATCTGCGATAATGGGACAAAAAGTAACACGCACCATAATCACTGGCGAATTAGCTGAGCCACCTTGCTGGGATCTTGATGGGCGCTGGGACGCGCCCAGAGGAACGGAACCACCGCCCGAATTGTTAGACATGGCCACAGCACCGTTGCTAATGCCACCGGCAGCTCCATTGCCGCTGGCGGCATTAGGATAATCATAATAGCTATACTCGCCTTCATAAGCACGATAAACATCATCGTAGTACGAATCAGCTCCAAAGCCGGGGCGAAATTCCGAATAGCCAAAATAATCATAATCGTAGTCTAGAATTTTGCACGAGATATGGTTTTGCGGGAATAGGATTGTGGTTAAAGGTTAATAAAGGAACAATTCGAGTGTTGCGAGCGAGGTGTGTAAGCGTGTGTCCATGATACTGATGCGTGTGTTTAAATGAATGAGGGAACCTGTTTTAGCTGCGTTTGACCAATTTGTAACTCGAATTAGGCGCGTTCTAAACGCTGACGGGGGTGGAAAGTAGTGGTGGGTGTGGCAGACACATACACATACAATATAGATGTAGGTTTAAGTAGATTGATGGCTTGGGTTACTTACCGGTGATAAAACATCAAACAGTATACAGGGTGCTTAACATTCGCTACACAGAGAACACAATGGCAACGTTTAATTATGATAAACACGGCTATGAACAACGTTTAGAGGTTAAGTCTAACTATGTGTAGTGGTATTAGTAAGTTATAGTTGTCAGAGAGTACAGCATCTTGAAGATGTAGAGGAGGAGAGCCGAAGATAAAGAAAAAAAATATATGGAATGAACGTATGACAACATCAAAAAGAATCAGGCATGCAGACAATGGAAATGAATATATAGAGAGAGAGCATTAACATACAAAACTTGCAAATATGAAATATTTACGTTTAGCAGTGAAAATCAATCAGAGTTTGGTTATGTGTGTGCGCAAATTGGTTAAATCATATCTCAATTATCAATTTGTTAGTCTCAATCTAGCTGGATACTAGACTGTGGGTAGGTGCTAAGGCATTTTGTGTGAGTGTTGTGTATGTGTAATAGTAGAAGTAATAGTAATAGAAGTATTTGGGGGCACGAGCGTACAAGTTAGTGGGCATCGCGCTTTCTAACCTTAAAATAACTAACTAAAATGAGAGACGATAAAAACGATAAAAGGTGTTGAATGAAAAACCAAATATTGGCATTGGATATGATAACTTAAAGATGTAAGCTGCAGACCAATTACATGTATCTGGCTAGTATTAATTCAACAACTTTAGTTGTTAGTTCCGCTGTGGCTTAGTAGCAATTACATTTATCTAGAATTTAACTATTAAGTAAGGATTACGCTCATTTGTATTCGAATAACTACAAATCTAAATCAAATGACTTTAACATGTTTTCCCTGCGATTTTAAGATCATTTTCTGTCTTTTTTGGGAGCCACACATGTGAGCTCGACAAGTATATATACACACAGATATTCTTGATACTTGATGAGAATAATCGATTGGTTCACTTATTGGCGTATTTGCCCAACTTACCGTATTCACGGGGTATCGGTGTGCGTAGAGGCATACGCGCCCCTGGTAGGCGCATGGGTGTGATGGACATCATGCTGGGGTGTGTCGGCGACAGATTTCTGTATGGAGACAATGTTTCAAATCTTTACAAATCAACCAATTTAAAAAGGGTTGGGGTTATTAATAAGTTTTGGTTTTGTTGTCGTGTGATGGGTGGCAGTGAAGCAACAAAGTGGGATCACCCATTTGATCACAAGGCGATTGGCAATTCGCAATTGGCAATAAAAAGAAAGAAAATATAAAATTAAATAAATTAAATGAATCATAATAAGACTCGTTACAGTGAATAATGGCGACTTGAAGAGTAAAGAGTTTCCAACCAAAATCTTGAATCCAATTGTAATTAAAATTAGTGGATTTTTGAATTTTGCGCCAATTGTGTTGTGTTAGACCAGGATAATTTTGCGCTTTTATATATCGGGTCACTCGTTCAGCCGCTCTTTCAGTTCAAGCAAAAGAACGAACCGCTCTTTCAGCTTAAGCAAAAGAACGAACCGCTCTTTCAGCTTAAGCAAAAGAACGAACCGCTCTTTCAGCTTAAGCAATGAACCGCTATTTCAGCTTAAGCAAAAGAACGAACCGCTCTTTCAGCTTAAGCAAAAAGAACGAACCGCTCTTTCAGCTTAAGCAAAAAGATCGAACCGCTCTTTCAGCTTAAGCAAAAAGAACGAACCGCTCTTTCAGCTTAAGCAAACGGCTGCCAGAAGAAAAAACCATTGCTTAAACAGTTACTTACCCAACAATTCCGGGACGCGCCTGCATCATTTGCATCATGCGTCGTTCGCGTGCACGCAGAATCTCCTCCTTTTTCTTTTTGTCCGATGGTGGTTTGGCGAGGGAGACCTGTTAGTAAATAACATATATATTACCGAAATATATATATTAATGCAAGCGAAAGGTACCTCAATATTAGAGGCGCCGACCTCCTTGCCATTAAGGCCACGCATAGCTTCGACGGCGCTATCACGATCCTCAAAATGTATAAAGGCATAGTCTTTTATCTTCTTGACGCGTTCCACCTTGCCATATTGCTCGAATTGTTCCTGGGAAAGGTTTTTTTGAAGTAACTCAAATTGTAGGAGCTATAACTAACCAACCTTCAGTTTATCCTCTGTAACGTCTTGCGTTAGATTTCGCACGTAGAGTACTTTAACCTTAGACATTGTTTGTTCATCCGGCTCCTCCTGTGGATCAGCCCAGTCGACTATAATATCACATCCCCAAACCTGCAAATACAATTTCATTATATTTGGATGCACGTGCAATGGGATTTAATACTTACCTTAATTCTACCAGTGCCAAGTCTCCGTTTGGCCAATGAAGCCGCCTTGTGTGAATCGTATTCGAGAAAGCAAAAGCCGCGATTCTTTTTCTTGTCATCTGGCGAGCTATAGATGATTACCTCGTAGAGGCCAGCTACGAATTTGTACGAATTTTTTTATAAATATAAAAGAAAATGTGACAATTAGTACTATATTTTTGAATATACAATATTTATTAATTAAATGCACAACTACGAAATAGATTAGTTTCACACACACACAAATATATATAGAGAGAAATACAACAAAAAAGTATTTGTATTGACAGCATTTTTGTGTGTGTGTGTGTGTTAATGGCTGAGTGTATCTATGTATGTGTGTGTAGATGGCATTAAGTACCGCACTTTAAATTAAATTTGAATCAATAAATTAAATAAATGACAGAAATGCACAACATTTTACATGACAAGCGGCGGCTGTGCATGGTAAAATAATGCAAATTTCTGAGCTTTTCAATATTAAATTGATCGTATCGTTTACACTTGTAAAGGTGATTTTGAAAACCAATGCCAACAGATTCTTTGCTTTTTTAAATATTTTTGAAAAGTAAATGCGCTAAGCTAACCGAATTTGGTGTGTATATATTTTCGCATAGTTATACGTATATAGAAAGATAGACAGAGAGAGAGAGAGAAAGAGAGAGAAAGACAGTGTATAAGTAGTTTGAAATCAAAGACACACTTAGAGAAGACTTGTAAGAAAAACTAAAAATTCCGTTGGTTGATGTTGCTTCTGTTTTTTTTTGCTTTGTACACGTTGCAAAAATGTAAGTAAAAATGTATATATATATAAGGAGTTATTGTAGAGCACACACTGAGCTTGAGTATTTCTTTGGTAGGTAAAACAAAAACAGTAACAGGATAGTATACACTGAGAAAGACACAGATATAGTAAGAAACACGTATATATATATATATTGATTTTGAATTGAGTTTCCATCGAATTGCAGTTTGAGAGAGAAAGAGTAAAATGAGTTGGGGTGGGGGATTAACACGTTTACAGTAAGTGTTTTCTCCAGTCATTACCATAGTTGATTGGCCAGAACAGAGATCTATACGAATTGTATTTTCCTAACCAAATTGATGGAGTTTTGTGTGCGCGATAATTGTTCTGTTCTAAAACAAAAATTGTCGCATTTTTGATGCTTTCAAAAATATTCAAAAATGTTTGTTTAGCTACAGGTTTTCAATGTCAACAAATCGGGCACATTTAGTGAATTAAATCAATACAAATCATAATTAAAGTGTAACAATTATTTTTTTGTTGTATTTGCTAGATAGAAAGAGAGAGAGAAAGGGGGACAGTAGTTAAATAAGCCAACAGTTTTGCTTATTGAGAGCTTCCTTTTTAATGGGATTGTGTGTGTGGCATGATTATTCAAATTTGGAAGAATTTTTAAAAGCGAAAATTGCAAAACAAAAATCCAATTAGTACTTTGTTGCTGCTGCAGTCGTTTTCAATTCTGGCTGTCTGCAAGTATCGCCCCTAAAAAGTTGGATGCCGTACGCTTATTTACCAATTCGCTGGGGGTGGTGTTGGGTTTTATTTATTTGTATGAAAGTTTTTGGTTGGAGGGTTTTTGGTTTAGCTGATTTCATTTGTTTGGTTTTTGTTTTGTTTTGGATCACTTACGTGCATGTTTAGAAAATTCCTCAATTAATTCGTCACGATCTCTATTTTTAGGTATATTGCCGACAAATAGCCGGTGATTGTTAAATGATATCGTAACACCAATCTTTTTGCCTTTCCGAATTTCAAAATCATTTAGCTGCAATTGTTCAAAAGTTCACACAAAACAAAAGAAAATTTTGATTTGCTATGAAAAATTTGTATCCATTGGTACTGCGATTTTTGGGATTTCGATTTCTTTTTTTTTAGTTAAGGTGAAAAGTTATGGTTGTTTCGTGGGTGTTTCTGTGTATGTGTGTATTTGTGTGTAGGATGTGCGTGTTGACTTAAAAAATTTGTAAGATCTAGACTTAGGCTTAAGAATTTGTAAATTAGTTTGTTATTCGTGCCAAATAAAAAAGAATTTATAAAAGTATTTGATTAGGATTTAGCTAATTTGTTGTGATTTTACATGTATTCATTTGCCGTTGACTACCGAGAGTTGTTCATCGAATGTCATCCGTGGCTTGTTTTTGGTTGTCAAATCTTACCTTCCGGAAACATACATACAAATAATTTCGACACCAATTGCAGATGACCTTACAATCACAACATTCGAAAAGAATAAACACCTATTATTCCTAGGTTATACAACTAAAAACCAGTTACGAAAAGAATATGCAATGCATAATTTTTGAATAATTTTTTAAACATTTTTTCATTTTGCATTTTGGTTTTCGTACGCAAAGTTAATGACTGGAGATAATATTTAGTACATAAGTATATCGTTATTAAAGCGTATGGCAAACGGGTTGTATGGGCGAGTCTGTGACTGGTTGTGGTGGTTGTATGAGAGTGTGTGAGCTGGATTGGTGCACCCATTATGTTTATTCTGTTGAGGGTGCATTTGAAAAGAGTCTCGAACGCTTTTCAATTCATTGAAGTTGTACTGCATGTTGGTGATGGAATGGTAGGTGGTTGGATGGCAATGGATATATGGTTGGATGTGATGACAAAATAATACAAATTAAATTAATCAAACGATAATAACCTGTGAGTAGTTCCTAACCTAAGCTAAATGCCTGCCTATTCAATTAGCCAATTAAGTTGTTTGAGCCAATTGGATTTTTGTTTTAACAATTTAAAGCCGATTTGTTTTGTAGAGCTTTATAAAAAGGCGCTTGGGAAAGAAAGAAAGCGACCTTTCGTAAAGGTACATAGTTGAAAATTTTAAATAGCTGTTTTAATTTCGTTTCAATTTACCTGTAAGTTTACCAAATTCCTCTAAAATTTCATCTTTGCCTTTTGACTTGGGTATATTGCCTACGAAAAGGCGCAGATTCGGTACGCTTATATTTATTTTCAGACACTTGCCGGGTTTTATTTCGTGATTATCGAGCTAAATTGTGGGGGGAAGGTAAAACGATTTTTAATACCAATTCAATGTTAATTATAATAAATAAAAATGTAAATCATAATTCAATAACTGAGTAATAATTTTGTTCAAGAACTCAAAATGGAGTACGGGTCAGGTTGAGGTTGGGTCGGAGCTTTTCAAATTAAACAACAGAAGTATTTAATGTATAATAATAATTTTGCATTACCAATTTTGAAATATTTCGAAGAGGTTTTCGATTTCGTCGCGGCATTTTGAAATATAGTAAAATTATTAGTAAGTGAAAAGTTTGTTAGTTTTAGTTTCGTTATATAAGGAAAGCTCAGCAGAACTCTGGGTTGTTAGTAAAGAAGGACATGCTCGGCTTGTGTTCTGTTTTTAATAAAACCAGACAATGAAAACGTACCCCTACGAAGTTGAGAGTCAAATCATTATATATATATAAGCTACGGTTCATATGCTTGAGCTACAAATTCACTTATGGTTAAGAAAAATTCAAAAAGAATAAGGGAAATTCAAATTAAAGTTGGGGGAACAGGTTTAACAAATTGCAGTTTTCAATTCAGGTATGTATCGCAGAGAGAACTCTTTTCAAATTTTGCGAATTTTCTTTTTCGTTATCTAGTGCTGCTAAGTAGTAGTAAAATTATATTTATATTTGTATAATCTATATAAAAAGGACATGCATACATAACAAATTACAGATATTTAGAATAGGCAGAGCATAAAAGAGCGTTAGCGATTAAGATGAAGGCAGGACTATAGACAGTAGCGATTAAAGTAGCAACAATAAAGATTCTTCGTTTAAGTTTGTTTTGTCTCAAAGCGCCGAATCGGGATAATTCAGGTTGTTGTTGGAATTTCAATCGTTCGAATTTGTGCTTAGAACTAAAAGTTTTCAATTGTAGAATTTGGGTCAAGCGGCAGTGTTGAGGGCCAAAACGATTCGTATTTACCTACTATACAGAAATTTTGATAAATATATTTATATATATAGAGATATGTATATTGTTTTAAACACAAAGCGCTTTATGGACGGACGGTGTTCTTGCTGTGTTGGGTCGAAGGGGTGGGGAGACATTTGGGTGTATTGATAGATTCAAGGTTGGATTAAATACCTGTCGCACAGCATTAACGGCCGCTTCGCGATTTGTGAATGTGACAAATGCGTAACCACGATTTGTGCCAGTCATGGGGTCCATCATTAGTCTAAGGTCCCAAATGGTTCCGCAGTTTTCGAATAGCGGTATTAGCTCATCCTCAAACATATCCTTGGGAATTTTACCACAGAAAACCTCGCAGCCATTGCCGGGCACATTCCCCTCCCAGTTGGGTGGCGGCCCGCCGTATTTGCGTTGTCCTGCATAGCCGTTATTAGAATTGCAATTGACGTATGATTATGTCCAACCCACCTGTGGTCACGTCCAATGTGTAACCGGTGCGTTCCAGAATCTTTTTGATCTTCTCCTCATCCGGACCCTTTACCTGTATGGTGCTGGCGGTCGCGGGCACACCCTGTTGACTGGCGCGACTCTTTTGACGATAAGTTTTCATAACCCCACACAAGTAAGCAGACTTATTTGACACATGTTCCAGATTTGACTCAAGGAACTGACTAAGCACATTCAAGGCACCATCAACAGGAAACTCCTTGAGCGCGTCCAGTGCGCGCTCGTCCAGCTCGGCGTGAGCAAGTTTGCCGGTTTTGTAGATTTCATCCAGTTTGCCGGCGACCTAATCGTAACGCAAACAACGAACGGCGCATCAGAAATAGAAATAGCTAGAATTTTTCCATAATTTGAAAGTACCTTTTTGTCCAGACCATATTCCAGTAGTTTGGGATAGTCCTCAGTACGTTCGCCATCGCCACGGTCATCGGCTTTCTGGTTAATGTCGTCCAATAGTTCGCCATTGCCTTCCGCCATTTCTGCAAGTAAAAATATATTTTTACATTAGCGTGCTTTAAATGCGAGCGGTGGTTGCGCGTTGCCATCGAACTAGGTCGCGAGCAAATACGAACGAAATTCGCACGCATCGCACGCGAGAGCCAGTATTTGCAAAAAAGTTCATTGACTTCAAACAAACGCACGTTGCGAGCGATCTTCGTAGTGGGAGAGCGTCGCGCACGCACAATTTAGTGCGTGCACGACAAGAGCTAATCGGGCAACGAGAGGGAGAAGTTCGCGATGCGTGTCAAAAGCGAAAAGTAAACAATAGAATAAAAAAAAGAGGCGCGTTCGCAAATTGTGCGTGTGCGCGGTCTGACAGAATCCCAATTGCGGGACTCACGAACTGACCGCTGGCCGGCAAAGTCGTGCATGACGTAGTCGGAGACGGTGACGGTGACGATGACAGTTCCCGTTCCCCTTGTGTGCGCGTGTGTGAGTGTGTGTGTGTGTGCGACAATCAGCTGTGTGTCATTAGGACGGTGGCCCGATAACTGGTTAGTGTTTGTAAAGCTTGTTTTGCATCAAATGGGAATTTAGATGTATATCAATTACATTTATATTTATATGGCCTCATATCGCAATGTGCAATGCAAATGTTAGCAGCTGCAACTGGGACAGTCATAAGGCGAACTTGATGCCCGTTGCTAAGTGACACGCACACACGCACAGACACTAATACAATTTAGTTGTCAGGTCTACTTTGTGCGGAATATTATCAGCACTGAATATATATATATTTATATATTTGTGTGTTTGAACGATTGCTCAAACAAAACCAAAATACAAAAGCCGCAAACACAAAAAGAAAGAACTATGGAACGCGAATATTGCGTAACGTTGTGCAAAAAAAAAAAAAAAAAAAACCAACAACAAAGTGATCGGAACGCGAGAGAGCGAGAGTGAAATGGAGAGCGTGGGTCGTAGTGACGAATGGGGGAGTGTATGCGATCCAGACGCGATCATGTGTGTGTGTGTGTGTACGACTGACTCGCTTATAATTCGCATTTGCTTATTGCAAAAATATTTTCAGCGCTGCTTTTTGTTTGTTGCTCCGCTCGCCAAAGCTCTCACCCAGTTAAGCTCTCTTCTGGCTATTGCTATTTCGTTTTATTGCTGTTTTTTGCTATCTTTCTTTGGCATGACATTGAAAAAAATTGTGTTTGTCGTTGCCGTTTGTTGTTATTTTCGTTGTCGTTACTCACTTGCGGCCCGAGTTGGGGGCTTAATCTCGTAGTTTTTGTTCGTAGCGGCAGTAGCAGCGGCAGCAGCAGCAGCAGCTGCGGTTCCGTTGCCATTGCCGTTGGATTTACGACCGCCTAAGATGACGCTGGTGCCAGCGGCAACGCGCTGGGTAACATTCACCAACATCGTGGAAAGACAATTGCCAACAAAAACAATACAAAAAAATTCCAGACGGTTTGTAATTTACTTAATGAAATTAAACTTTTTGAAGCTTTTCAGAAAGGAATTTAGTTTTTTTCACTTGAAAATTCCGAAATGTTTGGCCCACGTCTAATTTTTCAGAACTGGGAAAAAAACTGATTTGATAGCCTGACTAACAACTGTCAACTCATGCAAAGCCTACTCCAGAAGTATTAAGGCACGTGTCAATATCGATAGGTTTCTCTAAAAATAAAACGCTGACAACTCTACACTGACAACTACCGCAGCGAGGAGAAGTACGTAAAGTACGTATATTCAATGGGCAAATTTAATAAGCAACGGGGCAGATGGTGTTTGCGAAAGGCGTTAAAATCAGGACTGAGCTACTGTGAGTAAAGACTAAGACACATACATAATTAATGGATCCGCTGAAGCTTCATATATCAAACAGTGCTGCCCATGTTATGGACCTTTCGACAAACACAACTCTGGAAAAAATAAAACTAAATGGGACACATTGCCTTTTTCGAACAGTAGTTTCTCTTTATGACAAGAAACAGGGCAGAGTGGAATAATATCTATGTGGATAGCAATGCATATGGGGTTACGATAACTACATCTTTTTTGCCGCATTACTGTAGGCCTTTGCCGTAACGTGTTGTGGCATTCATCACGGTATTCATGGCGCAACACTCGTGCTAACCCTTAAGCACAGCACTTGGACGACCTCTGCACATTCAATTTGCAAATTTGCAAATTTTTTCCACTTTTTTGTCCTTTCTCTCATCATTTTTAATGCATGTTTGCTGTGGCAACGGCCGTGTTTGCAGTTACATTGCGAGTTCCGCCCTCAGTTGTTGGGGCTTCACAAATGCATAAAAATATATGTACATGAAAAAGCAGGAATTTGCATGGCTCGTTGTTTTCTGCAGCCGCATGGTAACTACCTCAATAAATTTTACGTTGACGCCGGGATACGTAAACAACGGGCCCAACAAGCCTCACTTGTGTTAGTTGTGCCCCTATTGCCACGCAATGCGCTATTTTTTGCACCCCTAACAGCGGCAGAGGGCAGACCACTGGGCTCTGGGCCAAGAGATTACGCCTGGTGTAAGGTTAGTAAATCAACGATATGACAAATGCCTGGCGCGTCCAATTTAATGCAGCTTTCAATAACAGACAAAAGAAAATCAAAATTGCTGATAAAGCGAAATAAATCGCTTTTCGCATCGCTCGCAAAGCGGGCGACAGCACTAGACATTACGCCGCCGTCGTCGTCTGCAACTGGAATTACAATGCAATGCAGTTGTATGCCAGACAGGGTGACCCGTGGGCAAGCGGTAAGGGTTTGAGGTCTGCTGCGCTCCAGCTGCTGCCTTTTTGAGGGTTGCTTGTTTTTGCTCCAAGCAAATCTCCAATGACATGAGCTTAAGGCAGCCAACATTTGACTATTCGGTGTTGCAAGTGAGTTTGTTTTATTTAAATTTAAAGCTAGTATTTAGTAGAAGAGACAGGAAGTGTTAGCCTTTTTGCTGCGTTTTGAGCCAGTGTCATTAAGGCTTAAGTTCGGCCGTGCATAAAAGTTTGTTTTCAAGAAGCTGCACAAGGGCGCAGTGTGGTGCGCGAAGTAAATGGTCAGCCGGGGGCTTAGTGGCCATTTAAATATTATTGCCATGAACGACGACAACAATAGAGGCAGTCCGGCCATCGGAAGTGACTGTAGACGAGGCATGTGGCGAGGGGGGAAGAGGTGGCTAGATTATTGATTTTGTGCAAATGCGTATGGAGCTGGCAACTCCCTTGAAGCACAACCCTTTGGCTCACACCAGGAAAATGCCGGCCAGATAAGCCAGTCAGACCGAGTGCCATAAGCCGATTTAAGGCACGAAAATAGCTGCAAGTAGTTTCGACTGTAGACATGCCGTTGTTCTATGCGCAACATGGCCAGACCTGGGGCGGGAGCCAAGCAGAACTGTGGCAAATGTTTGCTGTAATTTATGACCGAAGGGTTGCAGTACGAGAAACAGTAAAGGCGGCGGTGACTGGGGGCGGGACAAGGTGCTGCTTCAGGCTCGGTCGATATGGCCGCATAAGTTTCAGAAATTAATGCCAGTGCGACAAACTGCAAGGTAAATTAGAAAGGGGAGAAGAAAGTAAACAAGAGAATGGAATCTTGTAGTTTATGGTAAATAAAGCACGCAAAATGCATTTGCCATTAAGCAAATTTGATGTCTAAGGAAGCCAGACAGGCAGACAAGGATAAATGCGGAAGTCTTAGAAATGCAACAAACATGGAAATAAGTGGATTGAGCTGAGGTTTATGCTTGGATTGTGCTTTGGTATTTCGTGAAAAGAACATTGCAATTTATTACTAAAGAAAATCGCATAGAGAGGCCCATCTCTTTCACTATTCTCTTTTAAGCGAGCTCCGAGAGGACATAAAACCTGTCCACATTTATCATAGTAGCAGTTGGCAGCCTGACATTTCCCGCAGGACTTGAGCTTGCCAAAAATCGTAATCTTCACAATCTTTGCTTGTTTTCAGCCGCACGTTGAGCCAAATACAAACAGTTCCCAGGATTTGGCTATTTCTGTTGCCAAGAAACCAATAAGTCGCCTTCGTTCGGCCACTTGCTGCAAAACATTTTGGCAGCCGTTAGACTTTCAATATTTGATGCACAAACACACACACACACACACAATACTGTGGCCGAAAAGCCCAGGACATGCTCGACGAGCATCAACAAATGCAAGGACGAAAAGAGGCATTTTTAGTCACGTGGTACCGCGCCCTGACCAGGCACTAAAAAAATTCGCTGCAATGCGGCTGACTGAATGCTGGGCACGACACGAATTCGATGGAGAAAGGGAAGGGTTAGGCGAGGGGAGGCACAACAGTTGCATGCAATGAACATTGTCTGCGATGTCGTCCGAAATGTGGAACTGTGTGCGCGTAGTTTTTTGTACTTATGGAGTGAAAGGCTGGATAAAAACGACAACGTGCTGGCGAGTACATAAAGGCGCCGACACGTATACCCCAAAAGATCGCAGCAATAGGAAAAAACGTTCTAAAAACAGGGAATCTAACAGTCGTGATTAGTTAGGTGAAACAACAAGCGAATTGAAAGAGAAAAAGCTATTCAGCTTGCGCATCGCGCAGCCAACAATCTCCCTACCTCCCTCCTCCTGGCCCTCTGTCAGCAAGGAACCGGCCAAGTTGTTCATGCCTCCAACAACGGGGGCATAGTTTGCCTTTCATGGCGAATTAGAAAAGTGCCGGCTGCAGGCGCCGCTCAATTCCAGCTACGATGGCACAACGAGGAGGCGCTAGCTACTTGACTCGGGTGTATCTAGCGTTTTTATTTAGCATATTTTATTTGCGAAATTAGGCTGAATGCTCTTGCCAGGCCGCCCGCTGTGCACAGAGAGTTGCTAGCAGAGAACGAGGACATGGCGCTTGCAATTGTGGAAGCCAGCGCCTGGCACAAAGCACAACCCGCTGATTGCATGGCGGTTGTTACAGTGTCATGAAATGTTTCCAGCCTCGTTGCATAAATTGTGCCGTGCGAGGAAATTACAGACCAGAAGCAGAAGCAGAAGCTTATACATTATATAAAAATATTCATTATATATAATTTACAATTCGCAATTGGTACTTTAAAGCTTTCAGAAATTGGCTTAAGCCAATCAGATAAAATAGCGAATCAACAATTCTTGATTTATGTCGAGCCCTATCTGCTGAGCTTTTGCCTTTTGTCTTTTGCTTTTGGGCTTAACTGTCAAACTTTCAAAAGAAAAGCAACATTACAAGCTAAATGAAAAGTCGAATGCAAGCACAAATGGAAAAAACAAACACAAGGAAGGCGAAATGTACGGCCTGGCAAAAATGAAAACGTGTTTTCCGGCAACGAGCTTGCCGTGCCCACCGGCTCGAACAGCAAACAACTAACAGCGCCCCTTTAACCGAACCCACTGTGCCTTAAGACTTATGCATCATGCAACACCAACTGCAGAGAGGCTCCGCGAACTCCCTGCGGCACCAGCGATTGGGGGAGAAGAACGCAAAGTAAAAACGGAGAAAACATGGCGAAGCGCCAAATTATCCACACATGACGACAACAACGACAACGAAAACGGGGATGTGGCGGTTGGCGAGGACAACGACGCCGTCGAGGAGGATGAGGATGAGGATGAGGATGAGGCAAGCCAAGGCAGTTGGGAAAGAAACGGAAACAAGACAAGAACTGCAAATAATTGCAGCTGTACCTCTCTATATTTCTGTACCTCACTCGCTCGGTCAGTTGCTCTCTCTCTCTTTCTCTTCCTCTCTACGAGAGAGTGCGCGTATTGCACTCGCAAGCTTTCGTCGTCTGACAATGCATCAGAGCTTTTGGCGCTCAATGCCCTCTCACTCTTTGCACGGCCCATGCCCCTCATTGCATGCAACGCGCCGGCCGGTTTTCGCTTACTTTTCACATACATTTATTCTCTCTCTCTGTGTGCGTGTGTGCGTCTGTATTTACTTGTCTATGTAGCTGTGAATTGTGGTTTGTGTGGACGCCATTTGGCTGACACGTGGCTGACGTGGAGCTCAGCAAAAGGGCACATGGAATTGCAATGCAAAAACAAAATTGGCAAAGGAGTGAAAAATCAACTAGCTTTCGACAGTCTACGGCAACAAACAGAGACCGAGCCAAAGACCAAAAATCAGGAAAGGAAAGCAAAACCGACGCAAACCGGTTTCGCACTCAAACAACAACAACAACAACAACACAGCGATGCGGAGCAACTTTGTCTGGACTTTTCTTTATTTTAAGTTCACTTTTAATGATTTGTGTTTGCGGCGGCGGCAACGGCGGGCGATGCAAGAGCAAAAATTAAAATGGTGGACACAGCAGCATGGGACAGAGACGTCAGCAGCGCTGCCAGCGATGGCGCAGCGGCTTTTAATGCGATTGTGACGATGTTAAATGCATTGCCCACACACGCACACAGAGAGACACAAATGCTCAGACAAGCGAAGCGTCGCGCAGACATAAAAAAATTGTAGCCCCGTCAAAGCTGC